GATATAGCCGCTCAATTAATTCTGATTGACATTTGTTTACCCTATTAGGCAATAAAATTGCTTCCTGCTACTTCAATTGCATGCAGTTTTCACTTAAATTCGGTCTCAGGCTTCGTTTTTGTGTAGTATAAATATTTACCAAGTTTCTTAACTATCCAGTTATATTTTGTTGCACTAGTGTGCGCAAAATAACGACCAATCAGATTAAAGTAAAATTAATAATTATGCGCGTGTTTTGCCCACGTCGATCTGGACGTTTTGTTTGTTTGATATTTCGGGTTTTTCGTATTTTCCTGGTATGATATTTGTTGCTGGTGAATGAAGAACACAAGCATGACGGACACGGGTAAGTGGACCTGGTGCATTTATACTCCCTTATATCAATACATATTCAACCAGTATCACATATATGAACATATACTTATCAAATTGGTTAATTTTCAAACTTACCTGAAATGTATCTTTGTCGCGGTGAATGTTTTTACAATCGATACTCAAATCACGTGTCCTCTATATGGTCACCTACCAGTCCACGTGGCTATATTTGCAGTATTACATTAACAATACTTAATATCTCAGCAGTTCAAAAATTCATATTTAACTGGTTTTATATCTTTTCTATACATTTTCGCTACTAGAAATTATTTACTCATGATATATTTTTCCGTTTTCATAAATGTGGACTTGGGGAAATGTGGGCATTTTTTCGCTATAGGTCTTTACGTATTACTGGTATTAAAGTTTAACATCAAGCTCTATTCAATCCCTATATGTATGTATAAACTACACATAACCGCAATTCTACTGATCTATTAAGATAATGTGTATGTGTTTGTTTTTCTCATAGGTCTGAGCTGGACAAAATCAGGCTCTTGGAAACGGGGGGGAGCTAAAGGGAAGGCAAATCCAACGGCACCGCCAACACCAACCTTAGGCCCAGCCCCCGGACCTTCCCCGGACCTTCGCGGGATTCTTCCGTGAATCCGCAGAAGGAACACAGGCAAAGGCATGAAATTGCGATGTCGTTGCCTTCTGAGGACGAGGAGAAGACTAGCACAGCTCCCCCGAAAAAGAAAAAAACAGAAGAAAGATAATTTGGCAGCAATTATGCTAGAAAACCAACGCCAGTACCAAAAGCAGTTAACTAAAAAAAATCCAAAACTCCTAAAAGTATTCGGTGTGTCATCATCAGACGACTCGGATTAGAAAAAACGAATCCTAGACAATACAATCAATATCCTGGTAAAGTTACTTCTTTACTTTATGTGGTCAATAACAGTATACACTTCTGGTTTTTAAAGATACAATTAACAATTAATGGAACAACCTAACACACACACACACACACTCCCCCAACCTGGTCACTGTCACTTCACTACGTGTTTAAAATATATATGCAGACATTACCTTAAGTGATTTTTTAGTTTAATCATCAGAATTTATTAAGCAAACAAACCCAATATAAGTAACAGAGGGATAGAAAACCAGGCCTTCATATATGGTTCTGTGTGACCTGTCGAACCAAAACGGATTTAGAAATCTTTAAAAAATTATGTTTTATCGTAATTTCGGTTAAAATTAACGGCGGTGGTATAATTTTCATGCAATAGAAACAGACTAATATTATATATGGGCCATACATACTCTGTGATAACATCAAGAAAGCTTCATAAAGTGTTTGTCGAGTGTACACGTTCTGCATTAAAAATGGTTTTGAGATGTTCCCTAAATTTGCTATTCTAGGTGTCCGTCTCCGCGCTCCGCGCTCGGTCTACCTCAAAATGAGAAAGGTCTATTACACCTATACATCGAGTATGCATGCACATATATACATGAGGTATATGTCAGGGCCATATTCTCTGTAGGTAAGGTCACTACCTCATCTTTATAATAGTTGTCTGATTGCTTCATATTGATTGCACGCACAGGAAATATAATATATTTGCTTGTGCTGGAGTTTCCCAATTATGTTCCCTTATTGTGGCCTCTCTAGAACAAGTTGTTAATTACCTCTAACCATACAAGAAATATCAGCTGGGGGATCTCAACAATTTCCATGGCGGTTTTTTAGACCTGAGATATGCTACAATTTTGGCAGTCATTCAGGAAGAGTAGGTTTTTGAAGATGAAATGCCTTATTTTTCTCTTTACCGGAAAACATACCATGTATATATTTTGTATCATGTATATTGTATCTTCTGGAAAATGAGTAGACACTATATATAATAGAGATGATAAATATGGTACCTTATGTAATGAGGCTGTATTATAGAGGATACCCTTACACAATAAATAATGAAGCTTTATGAGGTAAATCCATAAACAAATTTCAGCAAGGAGATGATATACATGTATATTTGAAAACTGTCTCAGGATATATTTCATATACATAACTAATTATAGAAACAGTAAACAAAATATGTAAAGATAGTATTAAGTGTATAAAGTATATATTTTATATATATATATAAAACAAGGCAAAGTATTATGTGTAAGGCAATCCATAGTTTCCCAAAGGTAATGATTTCTATATTTAACAAACAGTACCTATTATGTCAGAATGCATCTACTGTTAGGAAAATATCCTGATACATACTTCTTGCACTCCTCCATCCCAAGAATTAGATGTCCTTGTACACCAAATCCGGTTACTCCAGGTGAAATAGTATAGAAGTACAGAGTGCACACCTATAATCCCCCTGAAACCAGTGGGGGACTAAAAAGTGTATATAGAATATTAGGAAGTGGTAAACTTTTTTATATACTCTGTATACTCCTTTGTAACCACTTTTTCTTTACTATGTACAGCCGTATCATATAACACTCTCCCTATACTCTGTTTATCACTTATTTATACTCTAGAATACAACTCCCTGTATAATATTTATACCACTCTCTATGCTCTGTATACCACTCTTAATATACTATGTAGGCCAATTTTGTATACCCTGTATACCACTCTTTATATACTATGTTACAATACCAATGCTTATATACCCTGTATATCACTCTTTATAAGCTGTATACCACTCCTTATATACTGTGTATACCACTCCTTACATACTCTGTATACCACTCTTCTAATATACTGTATACCACTCTATGTATACACTGTGCATACAACTCCTTATATACTGTGTAAACCACTCTATATGCTATGTTTACCACTTCTTACATATACTGTATACCACTCTTTGTGTATTATATAGACAAATTCTAATATACCCTGTATACCACTCTATGTATACCATGCATATCACTCTTTATATACTCTGTATACCACCCTGTGTATTCTGTAAACCACTTTTTATGTACCCTTGATGCCACTCTCTATATATATACTTTGTATGCCACTCGCTGTATACTATGCATATCACTCTTTATACACTCTGTAAACCACTTCTTATATACTATCATTATATAACCTTCTCAATATTTGTTTGTAGATACATCTTTGTTATATTTTATAATAAACAAGAGGCACTGAGTTAGGACCAGTCTCCTGGCAAAATCCTAACAAAAGTGTATCCAAATTTTGATGCTCAGCAATATATATACTACTACAGCCAGGTATTACACATGTAATTACTACTACAGACAGGTATTACACATGTATATATTATCACAGATAGGTATTACACATGTATATACTATCACAGACAGGTATTACACATGTAATAACTACTAGACAGGTATAACATACGTAATTACTACTTCAGACAGGTATTATATGTGTATTTACAATCACAGACATGTATTACACATGTATATACTATCACAGACAGGTATTACACATATAATTACTACTACAGACAGGTATTACATGTGTATTTACAATCACAGACATGTATTACACATGTATTTACTATATCACAGACAGCTGATATAACACATGTAATTACTTACTACAGCGAGGTTCCTATATATATTGCTATTGTTGTTTTTTGGGGGAGGGGGTTAAATGGAAAACAGTTTTATTTATTTATTTATTTTCTCATTATATAAATATCTGTTTTACCATGATATCTTATATTTGAATGGTAATAAAGTGCATGCTGCTACCATGTATCTGGCTTGTGTGAAATGCCTTTTAGGTCACAAAATACAATTGTATCTCTACAAAATATATCTAGTGGTCAATATCTCGAAGACTTCAAAGAACATGCACCTGATGATGAAATATCACTTATCTGTATATATGTATTAAATAATGAAATATTACTTCTTGTCTGTGATAGTACAAGTAAATACAAGTTTATAACCAGTTTGAAACAATGAATTTATGTTCCTTACATGACAATTGCAATGTATTGATAGAACATAGAATTACAAATACATAAGTATGTTCCCTTAATGTCTGTGATAGTTAAAACAATTTTATCTGAAGCAATATAATTCAAGATCCATAGCCTGTCTGTGATAATAAATACAGGTGTATGACCAGTCTGAAACAGTAAATAAAAAAATATGTTCCTATGTCTGTGATGAGCAGCCTGAAACAATTAATATTTTTTCTTAATATGTTTGTTATAGTTAATACAAGTTTATAACCGGTCTGAAACAATTAATAAATGTTTCTAATATGTTTGTTATAGTTAAGATAAGTTTATAACCAGTCTGAAACAATTAATAAATGTCCATAACCTGTCTGTGAATTTGTACGGGTAATAGAACAATGTTATCAAATTACTTTTAAAACATTAATGATTAAATCCATGAAGAAAATCAAGATAAAACATTTAATAACTAAATTGTAAGTTATACATGCAGTGGGATCGTTTTCCTTCAGTTATGAAATGCATAGGAACATCCCTTTCTCCACCATATTTACCCCCATCTACTTTATGATGCTTAACCTTTTAAAATAATGTTACTACGCTATAACCAGACTTATATTTGGTGGCATTAAACTCCTACTTTCACTTTCACATACTTCATTTCCGGTTAAGAAATACGAAACTGAGGCTTCCGATTTAATGCTTTAGGCCTACCGTGCACAGCTCCCGTTTGCCGGACTCACTCTCTACTAGGGTCGAATCAGAAGAGCAGATTGGCCGGTATGGCTTCAAGCTCAAAACGGGAATACAGTGAGCATATTGTTGAAGAGATACCACGCAAAGCACATCGTAAACGAGATCCAGAAAATGATCAATATGATGTTGACAATGACACTATTTTTACAGATTTTCCGAAAAAGTTCATCAGCGCCATCAGTTTAGCTCTGGACTCTCTCATTGATGAAGAGAGTTTTTTACCCTCCATTACCCTGACACCGGTAAAAAATTTAATGTGTAACGCGGCTGATAAACATGAAGGATACCCATTTTCTAAGGCATATTGCAGCATTGACATGTATGACACTGATTACGCGTTTGGTATCATCTTCAGAAAGGGTATCAATTTGTTGATTGATATGCTGCAAAGACGGACCCCTGAAAATCGGCAGCACAAATATGTCTTGAGTCGATTGTTGCATTATCTGCACGACATGACGAATTTACGTAAGTAAAACAACTTAAAGAGCGCCAGAGACCCCAATAATATTGACCTTGTCGCATCCACAGGTACCTGTGGTATATTATATAAATATCACATTCATGAGAGGGCGACATGAATGTGATTTTTATTTTATTATAACGAGTGTCATGTTTAGGTGTTTCACCATTTTTAAAGGTCCTTGTGTTGATTTCACATAAACCAAGACTTCAAAGTTTTCACTGGGATGAACCAGGGGCGCATACATTCGGCGCATGTAACAATTTTTGGAATAACACCCTGGCACTGGGACGAACCGTGCACGCATACGTTTGGCGCATGTGATATTTTTTGGAATAACACCCTGTCTTCTTTATCTTTGTAAAACGAGCAAGTGAAAATGTTCGCATCTTTCTCAACCAATCAGATTACGAGATTTTAACAGAAGGTATAATAATTTGTACTAACAGCTTAACTCTTATGCTGAAAATCCTACTGTATACAAGTTAAACTATATTAAGGACATTCCAATATGGCTGCCACACCAAACAGTATATCAAATTCAATAATGCATTAAACAATCCCTGTCACAAAATAATCCTCCTCCAATATTTCTCAAACAATACACAACTGAGCACAAAGTGAACAAGGCTGACTGAAGTTGGAAAATTTCAGAAAAAACATTCAATAACTGATGAAAAAACTCACTTTTTATATATGTTCATTTTCCAAGCTAGATAAATGTCACAATTCAGGAAAAAAACCATTTAAACTTGTAAATATCATAAGGGTGGATGTCCATGGAGATGTATTTGTCAAGAAAAATGTGAGAAAATGCTTCAAATCTCGAGAATGATGACATGTATTTTAAATGGATATTTTACAATAATTCATCAAGCTAACAAGACTTTTGATACAAGTCAAGCCATACCTGAGTGAGAACCTGTAGTGAATGGTGCACAGGTAAAATCTCACTTGCTTTGCATGCTTTTTTCCATCTTCTGTCAGCCTTGTTCACTTTGTGCTCAGTTGTGTATTGTTTGAGAAGTATTGGAGGAGGATTATTTTGTGACAGGGATTGTTTAATGCTAATGGAATGCATTATTGAATTTGATATACAGTTTCGTGTGGCAGCCATATTGGAATGTCCTTAAGGGGGATGTTATGAACACAGCGAGTTATTCTGTTTGGGAGATGTCAGATGAATACTGAGTATTGATTTTTAACGTAACAATTTATCTACTCTTACTATTGATAGCTTCAAGCTCAAAACGGGAATGCAGTGAGCATATTGGCTCACTGCATTCCCATTAATTGTTAATTAACAAAATTAACAAAGTGTCTTTCCAGCAGAGGAGAGAAGGTTACTTCTCGCTTTATTCACCTAGCCTTTCGCAAATACAAGTGCATGCATTTATGCCGAATCAAAATCAGCTTCCAACATTATCTTAATATCAAACATTGTTATAATTGACCAAGTGATCTATTGATATCGTATGTCAGTTTGAAATTCTCTCTCTGCGGCACTCTCTCAGTACGTCCATGCTCTAATTAAACCTGTTCGTTTGTATTAGCTCACCTGGCACAAAGGAGTCAGTGTGCTAAAATTTCTTCATTTTCCTTGTTTAGAATCAGAGGTGCTAGTTTCAAATACTTTTTAGTCCGAAATCTGTATGCTAGATATTGAATAAGGTGGTTTTATTGTTTTTTGTCACTTTGAATAATATTTCTGTTCATATTAAAAACAAAAATCAACTTTCTGTATAAATATATCAAAGGAGTCAGTGTGCTAAAATTTCTTCATTTTCCTTGTTTAGAATCAGAGGTGCTAGTTTCAAATACTTTTTAGTCTGAAATCTGTATGCTAGATATTGAATCAGGTGGTTTTATTGTTTTTTGTCACTTTGAATAATATTTCTGTTCATATTAAAAACAAAAATCAACTCTCTGTATAAATATATCAGGTGACCGTTAAGGCCTATGGGCCTCTTGTTTTCATTCATGACGCATTTTTGCTACTAACAAGGTGCTATTAAAATTTTGTGCCTTATTTAATAAATCATTGATTTACGCTTTTACTTGTTTCTTTTAACCAAGAACAGAAGACATACAGTTACCAAGTTTGTTCAAAACAGACCCCTTGGGTCAAAATTGGAGTCACACCCATTTATTTCAGTTATCGTGTTCACAGGGTCCAACAAGAATAGAATTACCAAGGGGAATAACTATGTAAGTTATGGTCAAATTGGTCCGGTATTCAAACTCATCCAAGATCTCATTATGCCGTCGTCCGTCGTCAATATTTTACTTTAAACGACCTCTTCTTAATAACTAAAAGGCCTAGGGTGATGATATTTAGCCAGAAGCAAACTGGGATGAAGGGCTACAAAGTTTGTTAAAATTAATGACCTTCACCCATTTTCAAGGTCACAGGGGTCAACTATGTAAAAAACTTTAAACATCTTCTTCTCGATAACCAAACTGCCCAGGGAGATGATATTTAGCCAGTAGCATGCTTGCCTGAAGGGCTACACAGTTTGTTTAAATGAATGACCTTCAATTATATTCAAGGTCACAGGGGTCAAATATGTTAAAAACTTTAAACATCTTCTTCTCGATAACCAAACTGCCCAGGGAGATGATATTTAGCCAGTAGCTACTGAGATGAAGGGCTACAAAGTTTGTTCAAATGAATGCCCTTCACCCATATTCAAGGTCACAGGGGTCAAATATGTTAAAAACCTTTAAACAACTTCTTCTCAATAACCAAAATGCCCAGGGTGATGATATTTAGCCAGTAGCTACTGAGATGAAGGGCTACAAAGTGTGTTCAAATGAATCNTTCACCCATTTTCAAGGTCACGGGGGTCAAATATGTTAAAAACTTTGAACAACTTCTGAATAACCAAAATGCCCAGGGTGATGATATTTGGCCAGTAGCATGCTGAGATGAAGGTCTACAAAGTTTGTTAAAATTAATGACCTTCACCCATTTTCAAGGTCACGGGGGTCAAATATGTTAAAAACTTTGAACAACTTCTCAATAACCAAAATGCCCAGGGTGATGATATTTGGCCAGTAGCATGCTGAGATGAAGGGCTACAAAGTTTGTTCAAATGAATGACCTTCACCCACATTCAAGGTCACAGGGGTCAAATATGTTAAAAACTTTAAACAACTTCTTCTCAATGTGCTAGTTTGGATGCAGAAGGCCAGAGAATATCACAAAAACAAATAAAAACAAATTATTTGCAGTGTTTTTTTTGGGTTTTGTTTGTTTGTCATAAAACATAGAAACTATAATTTATTTCAATTATTGATTTCCTGTATAGGATACATTAGAATGCATATAATGGAATTTATAAATTACAATTAAAAGGGATCCAAACGGGCTGCCCCATGTTACTAAAGTACCAGGACAAGAGATTTCATCTGTTAAAGTAAAAATAAAAATTAAAGGTAGATATTAACATATATATATATATTAGAGCATATTATTTCAACCAAAACCAAAGGCTGATAATTCAGGAATTTCCCATCCTATCACTAGCTTTAATAGTGGTTATTTATTTCCATGTCATCAGTTGATAATTGTCAGTTAAAAAAACAATTTGTTAGCAAAAATGTCAATTTATTCACATGTTGTAAGAAAATTGTATATTGGCAACTGAAAACAAAATATCGGCAAATTGTCGTCTCGAGCATTGTGCAAGAATAACACAATTCAAGTGGAATATGTCGTTTTTAAGTGCCCTGGTAAATATATCTTGTTATTGTTGATCAAAATTAAAGAGAAAGTCTTTAAAAATATCCCGACTGTGTCTAATGTAAACACATCTGCGGCTCAAGTGACCTATTGCTATCCGTCTTCGTCCGTCGTCGTGCGTTAACATTTTACATTTTCAACCTAAGCTGAAATACTGGCAAAGGAATTTCATTAACATTTCATGGGAAGGTAACTGACATCTCCCTGACCAATTGTTGTTATTTTTCGGGTTGATCAGAAATCCAATATGGCCGCCATTTGAAAAACTATTGACCTTTTGTTAAAACACAAAAGAACTCCCAATACCTGACCTTACCATTTATCGGAAATACAGTCATCCGTTACATTCTAGTACACAGCGATGTCAGGGACAGAAAATTTACCTGTAGCAATTGCTCTAGAAACAGTTATCGCCAAAGATTTTTCTATTGTTGATAGTAACTTAAATAAAACTCCCTCATCTGTATTTTCGCTAAGAGCAGTTTCAAATTGCCAATCATGGTTTACTTTCGCCATTGGCGCCAGTGGCGACCGCCAGCGCGAGCCCTGGGAATGTGAGAAAGTCCCTTGTTACTATATTTGGGTATGGACTTGTGTTGTTGGACTGTTATATAAGCCCAGAGCGCTGATTTGTGGTTGATCTATAGTGCCTAGGCCAAATGCCTTGCACGCTTTGTGCTGTTATTAGGGATTTCCATTTCGGATGGAAATACCTATTGTTATTGTTATGTTTTTTCTTATTATTAGGGATTTCCATTTACCTGGGGTCTCACGTTTCCCCCTGGGGAGGGGGTAAACTTTACTATAGTTTATATAGGGAAATCACATTTTGGACCAACATTTGTTTAATTTCCATTGGAAGTTATTCAATTTGGGTTAGCATTATCAGTATTAGGTAGCAGTTTGATAGTATGTACATATGAGCCCTGACTGACCCCAGGGGCTGATGGGTGGGGCCTGCAAAAAGGGTCGAATTTACTGAAATTTCAAAAATCTTCTTCTCAAGACCCAGATATGGTAGAATCAAATACTCTTCATATATGGAAGGGTCTTAAGGTGCTTTACCAAAATTGTGAATTTCTTGACCCTGGGGTCTCATGTTTCCCCCTGGGGAGGGGGTAAACTTTACTATAGTTTTTATAGGGAAATCACATTTTGGACCAACATTTATTTAATTTCCATTGGAAGTTATTCAATTTGGGTTAGCATTATCAGTATTAGGTAGCAGTCTGATAGTATGCACATATGAGCCCTGACTGA